CTATGCTGGTCTATGTGTGCAGAACGGCAGCTCAGCATCTCTGTATGCCTCCAGCTGCAGCACCCGCATTAATATCAAATGAAGCTGTGCTCACAAAGGGTGTTACGCTTGCCAGCTCCAGAGGAATCTGCTCCTAATGAGCGACTTCAAAGCATTAATGAGCTTGCAAAGCTCTCCTCTTCGTTTACAGAGCCGGACCTCGCACGCTTGGCATTAAGACAGGGGTCACCCGTCAGATGAAGAGAATGCGTGTGCATGTCGGCGAATATAATATATTTGTCATCCTCTAAGAAGCAAAGATTAATCATGCCCTCTCCTAGAGGAAGCTTTTATACTACATCTGCTCTTCACAGCATGGGGAGAAAGGAGCTGCCCTCAAGGACATCCATGACCTGCGCCCCTCATATTCCCATAGTACCCAGCTTTGAAGTTAACACTGACTGTAATCCCATGGGTCCATCTGGGAAATGCTGCCTGAACTGGCATCCTGAGCGCTGAATAAAGCAGTAGGGTCACTTTCTCCAGGGATGTCTCTCCCCTAGCCACATCCCCTTCTTTGCTTCCCCTAGCTCACTGTAGTCTCTGGCTTGAAGCAGCCTCCCAGTGCCTGGCTAACAGCCCTGTTGCACTCATTTGAGAACTGAAGCTGAGTCTCCAAGGCTGATCAAAATTTTAGAAGATTCTAAATATAATGCATAATCACAGCCTATAAACCTCAGCCAGGAGACAGCAGGCACACAGGCTGCTTACGGAAGATGATTATGGACATATTCTGAAGTCAGAAAGGTGTAGTCCTTAGATTCAGAAACACATTGGCAATGCTAACAGGGAAGCAGATCCTCCTCTCACTTCCCAGAAGAGATCTCTTGACACTCAGTGTCTATTCAGTAGATCTGTGTTTAATTTAAACAGCCACTGGAGGCAACTGCCATCCCACACGTTATTACTGCAGCTGGAGGGTGGCTGATTGGTAGTTAAGAAAAAGACAAAAATCCAAAGCCATGCAGTCATGAGCAAGGCAGGCTAAAAGTGGCACTTTGTAAGAGATTTCAAGACAAAACTTCTCTGCTTTACTAATGCGGGGGTGAAAATGATCTCTGCATCCTCACTTCAGAAACTGGCTGGCAAAGAGAAGCAGTAGGACGAGGTTCTCCTCCATGTTTTTTCTGTGCCCTCTCTTGCTATAAGAGCAGTTTGCTGCATAGGCATCGACCATCAGGAGCACAAAATGATGGCATGTTTGGCTCAGAGCAGCCCCACCAGGGTCATTTAGATGGAGTGAGACACAACAGCTTGGCTTCTCCTTGCCCAACAGACTTGCTGCTTATCACTCATATGCTGAGTACACGTAGTACTTAATAAGGAAGCTCTTTGAACTTTAAAAATAGAGTGCATCTAAAGACGCTGTCACACATAACTGCAAGCTTGTACCACATTTGGAAAGTAGCTGGAGCTCACTGACAAAAAGAAAAGTGGAACAGGTTAATGTTACCGTGCAGCTGGTCCCCAGTAGCTTTCAGAATAAAGAAGCAAGCAAGCACAGAAGCTCACTCATCCTTCCTATTTCTGCTGCCTCTGAAGAGGCAGTTCAGGAAACCAAGCCGCCTCAATTTACATGCAGCTGGCTTTCCTTCAGGACTCAGAGATGCACGTTATAGGCTTACAGGTGGAAGTTTGTTCTCTGCAGAATGTGACATGATGCCCCACTGCTTGATGGCTCTATAGCTCAAGAGGAAAGCTTTTCCATGAACCTTGCATATAGCTGCATTTAGCCAGAAGAAGCAAAGGCCTGGTTCTGTGGGCACACAGGCAGGATTAAAAACCAATGGCCTCGTGAAGGATATTTACCCCAGAGGGAAAGCACATTTTCTTTGTTGATTAAGTTCCATGGCAGTAAGTGATAGCAAATAATGCATTACTTTCTCCTGTTCAGGAATGATCTTCCACCTGTTTGCTATTTTCCACAAGCTATCGTTACTTTAAATTACCCTCTCAGCATTTTCCAAAAATATCTTTTGGACAACAGATAGGATCTCTAAAATAAATTAATCTCGAGGACTCAAAACACTTCGGCTTCACATCATTGCTTCTTCTTTGGTTCTGAATGGGCTTCCATTGTAAATGTTGATGGTTTAGCATTTCAAAGCCATCACCTTCCTAGCCTGTCATTCCAACACGTATTCTGGACAGGATGCTAGTGTAGCTCATCAAGGTTTTACCTTTATTTAGCCCAGACAAGATATTGAGAAAGAAACCATCACACTCATCTCTCCCTGTCACTGTTCCAAACATCATCAAATACAGCACAGAGAAATGAGTCACAGCTGTGCAGAAAAGAAAGCTCAAGAACACACTGAGGATCACAGGGATGTGAAATTGGTATCTCAGATGTTGGGTGCCCAAACCATGAAGACAAAAAGGGACCCAATGCAAATGAGACATTCAGTGCATATTCATCTAGTCTTGCCAAGTGCCATCTGCCAGACTTTTTCTACAGCCATTGCAGAGAGAAAAACATTCAAAGAGGGCTTCATCCCATCTAGGGCATCTAAAAGAGGGTGAAATTCATGCTTTCTGGAACAGAAGCAAAGGAACAAAGTTCATTTGATTAGTTTAAGCTAGACACCTACTTGCAGGTAACAAGATTCAGGGGCTGTTGTATCTGCCTGTGGGAGAGGGCCCTACAACAGGCAGACCTGGATGCTAACCTTACTGTTTCTAGAGGTTGAACAACCAGCACCAGAGGCTTTTATCGAATTGGAAGCCTGGTTGGTTCTAGTTCAAGGCAGATGATTTCTGAAGATCCCTTAAAACTCCATACCTGAATTTCACCAGATACCTGTGAACCACATTCCGTTACGGACGTTTTGAAATCACGCTGGAAAACGCTGTGCGTTCCGTATTCTTGGCTGTCTTTTAGCACTACAAAGGAACATTCCATTGGAAACCAGAGAAGGCGATTTTTTTATGGGACATATTTAGGAAACGCTACAGTATGCTGCACAGAAGCAACCCGAAAAAGAAACGAAGCAATTAAGTTATCACATAGACAAACACCAGCAGAAGAGGCTTGCATGTGTCAGAGAAATCAGCTGCAATTACTTGTATAGCTTGGACAAGGCATTGGAACGAATGGCAAAACACCTGATGCTTCACCTGCAGCATCAGCACTGCCCACCACTGCTCACTGGCTCAGCAGGGAAGCACACAGGCAACATATCACATCCCAGATGTCAAGGTGTGTCTGCATGAATTCCTAAAATGACATGTGTTCTTTAGCCTAGAGCTTGGCTCCAGGCTAAGAGCTAAATTCGATGTTCTCTGTGGCTAAAACTTCTTCAAAAACCATTCTGGGTTAATTAGAGAAGAGAAATTTTGGCTGCACAATCTGTAAAGGAAGATTGGCTTGGGAAATGGTATGAAAGTCGCGGTTTTTGCAAGAGCAAAGAGGAAGAACAGGCTCATTTCTAAAAGCGCTGCACCTAAGAACTTCAGAAAAGCACAGAACTTCACTGAAATATAATGAAAGGCACTGCCTGAAAGCAGAACATCTCCTTTGGCTCAGCACATCCTCTCCCAGAGGCACCACATCATTCCTGCTGCTCACAAAACAGCTTCTGTCTCCTTTTAATAGTTTTATTTTTAGACTTTTCTCATATTTAATTCTTTCCCTTTCCTTATGTAAGGTTCTTGGAAGGGCTGCGGTGTCAAACAATAATTGCATCAGAGAAAATTTAGAATCCACAGTGTTAAAACGAGTCTCTGCTCTTGACAAGTGAATGAATGTAGGAAGTGAGGGGATGAAGTTTTATCAAGGAGAGTACCCAGCTGGCACTGTAACAGCATCTCTCATGGGCTGGGGGCACCTGCCTTCAGATGGCAGCAATCTCAGCCTGGAGCACATCAGTACATGCCTGGGATTAGCACAGTCTGAGACCCAGATGCACAGTTACAAGGTGCTATCTGCACATACACGTCTCTCCGCATGAACAACCTTGAAGAAGGATTAAAATACAGTTTTGCCATCCTCTCACCACTCCTGGTTGAGCTGAAATGCCCTCATTTCACTCCTGGTTGAGCTGTAGCTGCACCTCAGCTGAGGATCAGACGTTTCCCAGTGTCCAGCACTGAGCCTATCAGAGCAGAAGTGAAAGAAAAAAAAAAAGAGAGAGATCCACTTCCCTGTGTTTTTGAGGATATAAGTACTCCAAAAAATGGGGTTCTGAAACTTTTATAAATTATCCCCTTTCTCCTGTATGTGCTGTATCTTTGCTGGCAATTAAATGGTGTTAAAGCTGCATCTCCGACCAACACAACGCTGAATCTTGGATTTGCCAATATTGCCACTGACCAAGGAAGCCCATGGAAATAATCTCCAAGTACCTGGTTTGCATTTTCCAACAAGAAAACAGAGAAGGGTGAATCTGATCCTCCACTCATAGCAAAAATCAGCAATCATTGAAGCAGCTATGGGTGAAAAGACTTACAGAACAACCAGGGAAAAGTTTTCCTCTCCACAAGAGCACCAGCTACCTTGCAGGAAACTCCAAGTCGACTCCAAATAGAAATACTGACAGGTATCCGTGGGACTATCTGTCATGCAATGTCTAAAATCGGGCTATAGTGAAGAGTAGGTGTACAGAGTGAGCTCACACATAGTGTGTACAAGAGCTTTCTAGGGATAGTATGTTTATAGAAAATATATATATATATATATGTATATATTTCTCCATATGGGTTACCAGCTGGACTTCTTTGATGTCTCAGAAGACCATCTTGCTAAAATCATCAATGACAAAACCCAGGATTCTCCCAATTAGATGCAACATGTGAAGGAAACTGTTGAAAGCTGAGCTCGCCTGCTCAGTGGGTTTACCACCACCTGACAGGAGGGCACATGGACCACGTGCATCTGTGCCTTCATTTATTTCCTTTATATCTCATGTTACCAAGTTAAAGGACAAAATCTCAAGAGAAGAAGAGTGAGGAGGAAAACAAACCTGTAGAGATTGTTCTAGTTGTTGACAGCTTCTCAGTACCAGCATAGGTCCTCTGCCCCACATTTGAGATGCTACAGTTTGCTCTTCCTCCTTCTCCCCATGTCCACCAGCTCAGCTTCTGTCCATGCAGTCCTTCAATCTCCTGTCCACAGTGGGTCCAGGCTGCATCAAGGTGGAGCTGGCTCCTACAAGAGAGTACAGCACAAGCAAGTCTCTCATGCCGTGAGGTAGGTAGCTTCCTCGGAAAACAGAAAACAAACTCCCAAAGTAGAACTTTTTTCTTTCTTTCTTTCTTTCAAAAAAAGTTCTTCTATTTTCTTCTATTTCTCTGCATCTAATGTTAGTCGGTTATTTTATTTTGTTTGACATTCATTCTTCAACAGAGCCACAGTGAAATGGTGTGAAGCCCCTCTGAAGTCATGTGGTCTTCAAGCACTTACCTCCCATAGCTCCCTTCAAAACACCGGATGGTAAACAATAGAAGAATACCTCTAGCATATTCCACTCATTCATCTGCTTTCTTTACTTATTTTTCCTTTTCGTGCCTTTTTTTTTTTAATATAGCCTTTCTTCTAGAACTTAAAGCCTGACTTTTAATAATTAGGCAAAATAAGCCACGTGGGGGCTTTTTACAACCTGTTTTAAAAGTAGAGTTTTGAAAAGTAGACAATGAAATTATTATTATTTCATCGCGCAGCTATGCAAAGGCGCAGGGGAAAGAGAGAGGAGACGCCGGTATTTGCTTTTTGGCTTTAAATGACTGTGACAAACAAATAACAGCTCCACACTTGGTCCACAATTGAGCTAATTGGTAACACCTCAAACTGTATATCCTAAAAGCTCCTAATTAGCAGCTAAGCGTAGGATAAATGAGGAAGCATTTGCTCCTTTGTGCTCCAGCAGACCTGTGAATGCATAATAGACAGCTAAATTTAAGACCCCAAAACATCCCGTTTAGTGTGTAACCATGCAAGCAGCAATGTGTGCATGTGGGTGCATGGTTCTTGTTCTGTGCTTACAGAGCGCCTACCACGATGGGTGTGTGGTCCTTAACGCATCCTTTAGGAAACTGGGACCTTACCTAAAAGCTCTAGATATCATTTTCAAGGAGACTTCTGCTGCCTCCAGCAAGCTCCAGCAAGGTCAGGGCCCGTGGGGAAATGCTCACTGCTGACTCCCCCATTTAATTTCAGAGAGCTCCCAAGGAACTTCCCTCTCTGTCCTCTTTCCTTTGCCACCAACCCCCTTCACACTGTGGGAAGGTGCTCAAAGCAGCATGGCAAGAAGCTAAAGGAATGGGAAAAAAGAAGGCAGAAGCCTTAGAAAACTTGTTTCTGCAAGTCTTTCATCACTGTGAGAGTGCTAAGAATTATATATCCAGGACAGCAATTCACACATTCAACATTCATGCTGGAAGATGTTGGCAATGGAGGCGTTGCAATGAGAATGGCTTACAGTGTGATGAGGAAGTACAGCTGGAGTCCTCTAGCTTCTGTCTGTGATATGGGTCCAGAATCAGAGGTGAGCATCTCTTGTCTGTTTGATGGCCCCCTGAAATGAGTTCATAGAATCATTAAGTTTGGAAAAGACCTCTAAGATCACCAAGTCCAACCATCAACCCCATGACCACCATGCCTGTAGCACAAAGCAATGCAGGACAGGCATTTCTAGAGATCAGCGTCTTTATCACAAAAGGAGAAGATGGATAACTCACGAAGGCAGCAGCTGTGTTTCCCTCCCAAGTAGCACCTGGGATACCCAAGGCTGGTAGGTAAGAGCAGGAAGCACTGAGACTAATGCTTAAAAATTCAGGAAGGACTGCCAGGTGCAGAAGCAGAAGATGAGGCAGTGGCACCGCATTTTCCTGAAATGCAACATTAGTCCCCTTGTAGAGATGGATGAAACTGAAGTTTTGCAGCAGCTGTCCCCACTGCACTCTTCTGTGATTAAATTTGGTCTCCTTTTCTGAAGCACTGACATGGGCAGAGACGCTTAGCTGCCTCCTCCTGTCTGCCTCTGGAGGGACGGAGGCACGGACCTTATGACAACACTGGTCCAGCTGCCATCAGTATCAAAATAGATGTGAGATGCAGGAAACTGGTGGCACACTACAGAGACTCTTGGTAATGATGTAACTCCTCCCCAGGAATGGGAATGCATCAGTTCTGTACACAGACTGATGGAGAGGGACAGGACATGCCCTAAGTGAGCAAAAGCAATTGCCTTCCCTGCAGCTCCTTCCTGCAGCAGGTGAGCCACAGCTATTGCCATAAGGCCAACAAGTGTTTAACAAAAGCCTGTCTTCGGGCATGCTCTGCTCTGCTGTCTGCACGGCTGTGCAAGGCAGATTGCTGGCTCTTATTAGCTAAATAAACAAGCAGCAAAAGTTGAGCAGAGTGGAAGCACATACACAGCTTGTCTGCAAATAGAGACAAACGCCTCCATCGCATGGTTGCACCCAGCTGTCTGACTGTTACCTGCTTAAATGGCTTTAATTTCACATTAAGGTCAGCGCAGGCAGAGCTTCTCCTCCAGGGTGGAAAACCTGCCTAATGAGACACTCAAGTTTGTACTGAGCCCACGCTGAGTGCTTCAGGGAGCTTGGTCTTTCCCTAAACTAAAGGGGTCCCAGCTTGGGTGCTGGGCTCACCAGCCAGGCACTTCTCTGCCTTCTTGCTGAAATTATGGGCTATCTCCAAGTTCCAGGCAAGGCATTCTCTATGCAGAGATCTGTCTCTGCCCCAGCCCCGCTGGGGATCTGCTCCTTAGGCAGGCTGCCCTGTGCTGGCTCCATTTCAGCAAAAGTTATTCATTCAGCTTGTGCATCCCTCCCCTGTACCATTTACACAGCCCTTGCTTTCCTCTGGGAGTAGAGTTGGGATGAGTAAACTATCTTTATATATAGTCTGAGGGGCTTGGCTTTAACTCTCATTTATTACTCTTCCATTTCCTTTAACTTCTCCTTTCCAAAGATCAGAGTTCCTGGCCAAGTTCTGATGCAGTCTGTGAGGGTGACAGACAGGGTTTTACTATGATTGCTGGTGCGTGGGAAGCCATTCATCTCGAACCGCATTCTCCATGTTACTGAAGGCTAAATCGAAAAAGACCCCTGTCTTGCATGCCTTCGAAGGAACTATTCCGAGGATAGTTTAGAGTATTGAGACATTGATTCACTAAACATTGCTGCCCTCCTTATGTGTGGGCAGGCAAAGTCACCCATTATTGGTGATTTATTAGCTATAGGAGCCTCTTTGATCTTCTCCAACGTCGCACACTCAATATCCTCCTCCCAGGAGGCAGATGGGAGGAACAGCCCCATCAAAACACATGCATTATTATGACTTACTGTTTGTGTCCAAGGATTGTCTCCATGCAGGCACGGCACCGCGTCTCACTGGATTCAGGGGAATCTTTCTGAGCCCTACAACATATGCAAAAATAGAAGTTCCTCTTGGAGTGAAAAATTACTATACCAGCACCTCTAAATTGCTTTTAACGGCTTTCTGTGCTGCCTCTGGCTCAGAAGTGCTTAGTTTGCTGACAAAAATCATAGACTCACACACACTTGAGATGGAAAAGCCCTGCTAGGTTCAGCTAGTCCATTTCTCCTAGCAGGAAAGAAACATTCCCAGCAATCTGTTTTCCCTACTACTTTATCTTGTCTATTTTTAAGTATTCCATGTAGCAAAAATACATTTAGATTGTCAGGATTTCAGAGCCAAGTTAGCTGTGGAAGTACCAGCTGTAGCCTAATCTGCTTTGTCTGGTGGCAGCAGCTAAATTGCTCTCTGCTGCCTTTGAAGTCAATGGAAAAAGTCTTATTGGCTTCTCTGGGAGCATTCTCAGGCCTATGGTACGGATGATTAGAGCAAATAGCTACAGAGCACTGATAAGCCATTCTTACACTATCACTTTCTAGGCCATAACTGCATTTTAATAGGCAAGAAATTGTCTCAGAGGCAGTCAGGGTGCAATAATAGCAACACCATGTGGAGCACAGGGCAACCCGAGACTTCACAGAAGTGGCTTCTGCAACGACCATACAAAATGACATCCAAAAACCCAAACTGATTTGGTGGAGTACATGATCTGAGGGGTATGACCAGAGGCAACCTCTTTCGTGCCTTGTCTCTCTACTAAACCTGCCAGAGCCAGTTCAGCTTGTAGGTAGCTTCAACACGCTTTTCCTTCCCAACAGATTTTAACTTCTTGAATGAAGGGAGCCCAGTGCATCAGAGTACCCCTCCACATACTTGGATACAATATGGCATAGCTGTGGCACTGCCTACTGTGTTGGCCAAACAAAGAAGAACAGGAAAAACTTATATCCTCTTTAGGTTTCGAACTAAAGAGGATATAAGGAAAAAAGTTTTTTACAATATGGGCAGTAAGGCACTGGCACAGACTGCCCAGAGGTGGGTTGGATGCCCCATCCCTGCAGACAGCCAAGGTCAGGCTGGATGGGCTCTGAGCACCTGATAGAGCTGCCCTGTGCATTGCAGGGAAGTTGGACCGGATGGCATTTAAAGGTCCTTTCCAACTCAAGCCATTCTGTGATTCTAAATCTGGTTGTTCTATCGCAGAGGTAGGAATGTACTCTGCAGCCCTCAGTTCAACCTCGGATGAAGCTGTCCTGTGAGATGGAGCAGTGACACAGCAGCCAGACGTAACCACAGCAAATCTCAGCCCTCTGCTTTCCCTTTCCACCTAAGTAACAATGGCAGGTAGTGGGAGCTGGGACTGGGTTTAATTTAGAAGTTGTGCTCAGCTGGGACAGCATTCTCTGCCTCCACATTTCCTGTCTGGAAGTTCTCCCAAAAGGATGAATTAACCAATATATGACCTGTATGGGAAATGCACTTTATTGAAGCTATTTTTCTAGGGTAGAGCTGAACAGCTGTTTGACAGTGCATAGCTGCACTACACTAGAGACAGTAAAAACACATGGAATGAACAGTATTCAGGTAAAACCGTGCTGTGAGGAGGCAGAAGGTAATTGCCTCACTGCAATTTTTGTCTGTACACAGAGGCTGATGCCTTTGTGTGTGCCATTGTGGGGTGCCACAGCATGATAGCAAGCACTAGGATGGGGACCTCACCTCTACCTTCTCCACAGCCCCTTCTCATACCATAAATTCAGAGAGATTACCACCAGCCCTGCAAGGAAAGCCCATTTACATCAGGGCTGGAGAGATGAGGATCTGAACAGAAGCTCTAAAAGCCACTTTTTTTTTTTTTTTTTAAAGCCTGACATAAAGCACTGGCTGGATTTACCACGGGTTTCCTCCACACATCCATGAGTTACACACACAGTAAGTGTCCCGTCATCATGAATTCTGCCAACGTGTTCTTTTTAATGGTGCTGATCATAGAGAATTCATTTGGTCTTCATATAGCTGTCACCTGTATTACCAGAGCGATTCCATTCTAATTTAGCATTACTTAATGGAGAAGATAAAGTTAAGTGTTAGCCATGTGGGTCCTTTCTTGGCTTCTCTCTCTCTCTCTGACACAGCAAGAGTGAGACTGCAGGGTGTTTTATGGCCAATAATTCAAAAGAGCAGGGAAAAGAAGGAGCAGCAAATATCAACTGCATGTCAATCATCCACAGTCTTTCAGCTCAAATGGTTATATCCAGACCTCTGATCTTTTCTTCTGCTGCCTCTGATCCCCCTGTTTGTTTGGAGTTCTTTAGGTACTGCAACCATCAGAAACGCATTTTTTTAAAGGCTCAGATCTAGGAAACCTGCTGCAGATCCCCATAATCACACAAAGATATAGTATACAAAAACCTCTCCTAATGGCTGCAGTATAGCAGCCAAATTACAACAAGCCTGGCTGGATGGCAGTGATGGGGTACCCTACAAGCAGGCTGAATGCATGAGAGCAAGGTGGGGAAACGGATTATTTGTATAGCATCAGTTATACAGCAACAAGTGATTTGTTCTCCCAAGCCCCTCTGCCCCCCCTCTTTTTACCCAGCTCAGAAAGGTAATCATTCTGCATATATCACCAGCTTGTTTAAAGTGGAGATGAAAAGCTACAAAAGTACAACTTAATTGAACCCTGTATTGTGTTATTACAAATGCTGCCGACCTCAGTTGCAGTCCATTATCAGAGGGTTCTGCTGAATGCTTTAATTAAAGACAATAAGGCTAATAAAAAGGCATCATTTTCCTGTCTCCAGCGCTGCTGGAGAGTTGGGGCTGATGAGATTATTTTCCTCTAATGCTCTTCTGTTGTTGTTGTTTTTAAATCTTTTTCTCCCCATGGTTTGCAAA